TCTAGGAAATCTACGCTGCCTGGGCAGGGATGGGCTTGCGATTTAAAGGGACGGCCATCACGTGATGCGATTTACTCCTCAAGGCCTTCCCAGCCTTTGAATTCTATCAGGCACAGTATTTGTTTCTCCCACTGCATGATTAAGGTTTTAATTTTTATAGGAAACAAAGCCCAGGAGAGTTCAAAGAGGACACTTCACAAAAATAAAAGCCAAGAAGCATCAATATTAATAAAGCTAAACTCCAAAGATATTTAATAACCTTTGTGAAATTAAAAACAGTGACTAATTCAATCCAAACAACTAGGTCAGCTCAAATTCCAGCAACTCTAAAACTGAGATATAACAAGGCAAGAACTTTGCTCTGCTTCAGTGGTCAAAATGAAGGGCCTATTCAAGGGAAAGACCAGCAATGCAGCGACAATGGGAACGCTTGGGGCATCTGGGGCACAGGGGGAGGGAGTTGGGACAGGGGACGAAGCAAGATGATCACTATAGTACCACCTAGGAGTTTGACAGAACATGTGAATGTCCAAAAAAAAAAAAGGACATTTCTCACAAACCACCAAAGAGTCATTCAGCCAACATCTGACAGGCTCACAGAAGCCACAAAGCCCCAGGCGTGTCTCCTGCTCAGAGAAGGGTACAACCTCATCAAAGAGCAATCAGGGCACATACACAGACACTAGCAGAGCAGGGCAAAACGCCAGAGTGCCTCGGAGAGCTACACAGCGGGCGAGAACTTGAACTCAGGCAAAAGGGACTTGACCGGAGATGTGCAAAGGCATCGAGTGAACTAGCGAATGAAAGAAACCAAATCTAAAGACCATGTGCCAACGCTCTGTCTACCTGCTTTGGGTTGCTCCCAATTATCCTTAAAAATAGCCTTTAATAATCTGGAGAGTAGGATGTTCAGTGACAAACTACACTGAACCCAAGTTCGACTCATTAAGGTGCACTCTTTCAATTTAAAAACACACAGCATTCATTCAACGGCTTACATGGAATGGCAAAGCACTAGAATCTTGCTGTAGGCCTATGTCCTGGCCTCAATAATCCACATACCCAACCTCAGGAGTGTTCAGCTTTTCTGCCATATTGGTAGAAAAGAACAGAAGATGCCCGGCCAGCGTGGCTCAGTGGTTGAGCATCGACCTATGAACCAGGAGGTCAAACAGTTCGATTTCTGGTCAGGGCACATGCCTGGGTTGTGGGCTTGGTCACTAGCGGGGGGAGTGCAGGAGGCAGCCAGTGAATGATTCTTCCTCATCATTGATGTTTCTCTCTCTCTCTCCCTTTCCCTTCCTCTCTAAAATAAAAAAAAAAATGTTTTAAAAAAAGAACAGAAATAAATATCGCACAAGAAGAAACTTACTCCAGAACACCCAGACAAGTAAGGGGGAGGGAAGCCTGGCTGTTGGAAGCTGGCAGTCCAGCCAGAGCCTGCAGAAAGCAGGGGAAGGTTCCCACATCTGACTTTTAGGCTCATTACTGGCCTCATTCAAATTTCCTGTCACTCAACCCATTTATCTTAAGTGAGATAAATCAGTAATCTCTCTGGCCACATAATTAGATCTTTTTTAAAAAAAAAAAAAAAAAGAACTTTTAAAACCAAGAGGTAGTCAGCTGAGTTTTCCAAAACATGGCATTTCTTTCATTGGTCAAAATAAAAAAAGAGAAATACTGTACTTTCCTAGACCAACTACATTAGTATGGCGTAGGCTGGATTTAATGACCTATTGACAATGACAGGGCCAACACAGACTTTTCACAAAATAATGTTTAAAACTATTAATCCAACTTTACATTTCTTCTGTATAAAATCAAGGAAGACAGTAATTTGCTTTTTACTCACAATGTCCCAAAACTGAAAAAAAAAATTCAAATTCTAGGTGTTTTTTTTTTACATTGTATCAAAATTACCAGTTTACATGTAATAACTTAATCAATAATAAAAAAAAATTTACCAGTTTACAGGGGTACTTGGTACTAATAAAATGTAAAAGCAAGTAACCAACTTTTTCAATGTTTCTAAAAGCAAAATGACTTCTTAAAAAGACAAAAAGCTACCAATAGAGTCAAAGGTTTCTGCCAAGGTAAAATATATTTTAATAATCTAGGGACTGGATAAACATATTTTAAATGTATGCCCTAACCCAGTGGTCGGCAAACTGCGGCTCTTTGGCCCCTTGAGTGTGGCTCTTCCACAAAATACCACGTGCGGGCGCGTACGTACAGTGCGATTGAAACTTCGTGGCCCATGTGCAGAAGTCGGGTTTTCCGAAAGGAGATAGACGAAACAAGTATACAAGATGAGTGTGGATGGGAGAGTTGGAAGGGGTCGACCTCAATGAATGTACCTCAATCAGATTGAGGACGTTTTTAGCAAAGGCCAGTTTAGGAGTACCCTAATTAAGTTAATAACAATGTACCTACCTATATAGTTTAAGTTTAAAAAATTTGGCTCTCAAAAGAAATTTCAATCGTTGTACTGTTGATATTTGGCTCTGTTGACTAATGAGTTTGCCGATCACTGCCCTAACCAACTGAACACCCAACATTATAATTCTGTTCCTACATCACCTTCTAATTTTTTATTACTTTACCACTTCCCAAATCTTTTTTTTCCTTAATCCTCACCTGAGGATATTTTTTCCACTGATTTCTAGAGAGAATGGAAGGGAGAGGGAGAGACAGAGAGAGATAAACATGGATGTGAGAGAAACACAACCCTCATGTGCCCCGACCAGGGAATCAATCCTGCAATCAAGGTATCTGCCCTTGACCAGAATCGAACCCACAACCCTTCAGACTGCGACTGACACTCTAACCACTCAGCAACCGGCTAAGGCATTCCCAAATCTTTTGGAAATGTGGCAAATACTAGCAGATGATGGCTATCACAGGAAAATATGAAAGAGGAAAATGTATTTTTTCCTTGTCTTATTGTAATGAATGTACTATAATCACCTTTTTCTACAGCTTTTGTGCCCTCTGCTACTTTTAGAATAGAATCCTAAACAAAACAAAAAGATAATTTATTTCTCTGCCCATAAATAAAATAGACAGTCTATATTATCAAAACACCTGGTAATTTATTCCTATTCAATATATAAAATAATTTACAATTTTCAACCATTTCTTTGTTGAGAAAAAATCATCTCTTCCTTAGAGCCTGAATGACAAACCAGGTGTGCCTCCTTTAACTGGCAAATAGGCAAAATGATAACGAGAATGGACCTGTTTGTGGAATTTTTGACTATGACCAAAAATAAACAGCTGAGGTTAGGAGACAAAAATTCCAGCCTCATTGCTTACTCCTCAAAGTTCTTGGAATTCCTCTGCAAGATCTTCACTTGTTCAATAACCTATGCCTTTCCCTTTGTGGCTAATAACCTCAGTTGTATGAATGTTCCATCTGGATTAAGAATTGGCTTTCGTTAGCTCCTTCAATCAGCTACTCTGTGAATATGTAACTCTCAACCACTTCATTCAATTTAGTTAGACAATAGAGAAGTATCTGCTTTCGGGAAGAAAACACAATGGCAAATATAAAACGAACTGAAGCATCATCTACCAAGTCTCAGACTGTGAGAAGACACCAGATAATCATACAGAATGGACAGCTCAGTTGACAGGTAACTGAATACGATGGCTTTTTTTCAAGTTGAAGAATTAAACTCAGCCTAGATCTAGGGCAAGGGGAAGATGTTACCTTCGGAAATATTGGTGTCTGGTTCCTTCCCGACACTATGACGAGCTGCATCAGCCAGGACAAAGATCACAGTGGTACAGTCTTCTATTTCACCACCTCTCAATGTGCTCTGGGGGTGGGGGGCCGAGGGAAGAAACTGGCAATGATACTATCATTAGGTTTGTCCTCAGGACACTTGGAATGTTGTTAGCCAAGCCTGTGCTCCACAAATATCTGAGATGTTTAAAGAATTGCTCCAAAGAATGCCTTCACATGTGGGAAATGGACAGAGTCCAAACTGAACACTCAGGATGCCAATTAAGCAGAATCAGAAGTCCCAGACAACTTGTCCTGGGTTCTCCCATTCATTACAATGGTTCAGGTAGGAAGGTAGGTAATTAGGTAGGTAGTGGAAGGAAGGAAGGAAGGAAGGAAGGAAGGAAGGAAGGAAGGAAGGAAACATTTCCCAGAAGAGAAAAAAATTATTGGCAATATTCTGTCTCTTCTATCTCTTACAAAGTACTTCCAAAAAGCTCCACTCTCTAACACTTACAAAAAAACAAACAAACCAAAAAAACACCTTAAAACATCTGTAAAGCACCAAATTGCCAGGAAGCACCCGAGGAAAGTCCCGAGAGAGCTCAGTAGGCTGCGGTTCCTGCCCACGAGTGCGGTGAGTAAAACTGTGATCCCAGGAGTTAGTCATGCATTACAGACTGAAAGTTTTGTTTTCACTAATTCATCATGAATATCAGTATCACTGTCTTCACTAATCCAAACCCGATTACAAAACATTCTTCTCAGGAATTTCTTAAGAAAAGTGAGCTATACTTTTTACTTTATGACGTCACCCTCTAAATTTAAACAAAAATAAATAAATAAAAATGGCAATGACATGTCAAACTCAGAGCATCTCAAACCCTCCGGGTGTGTGTCTGATAAGCATTAAAGCCCAGGCTCAGCAAGAGACTAACCTCAGACCCCATCTTCCGTTCAGCTACCTGACATTTCCTCCCATGAAAGGCGGGCTCAATTGGGAAGAGGGGAATAAAGGAGACCCACATGTTTTGACTAGAACCCACTTGGGAAGTCTGAATCTCTCTTGTACGAGAGTATGAGACTGGGGACTGTATGTCATATTGCTCATGTACTTACTGCCTTTTGCTTGTCCCCAAACCCCCTTGTATTTACCTTGAGCTTTCCTGGGAAGCCTGTGAGGTTAAACATCTTACAAAGGAAAAACAAAAATCTTCTAAAGAAATGCATCCAAAACACAGCACAGAAGACGCACATCCCTCTCTCCACTTACCCGGGAAAGCGTGTGGATTGGGCGACCCTCTCTTAAGGCACTTAGAACAGAGAATGTGCACGGTGTAGTGCAGTCCAGGCCATTCCTGAAGTAAGACATTCAGTTCTTCCACCAAGGGGGTTATGGCTTGCCATGCCGTCCATATGTTTGGTAATGATGCATGGCTGGCGATGGACAGGGTATCGGGCTGCAGGACCCCCTTGGCGGGTCTGTAGCTCACCACCACAGGAACTTTCCCTCGATATGCAAAGATCTGAAGTTTCCCGTCCGACCTCTGCACCACGTGGCTGTTGATCTGGACGCTGTAGCGTGCAAACAACCCAGGTGGGAAGGTAAAGGGAAAACTATATTCAATCTGCAACTGCTCAGCCACAAAAGACTGCCCGGCCAGGTTGGTCCCGTTAATCCAGGCCTCTGCATGGGGCACCTCGTTCTGCACGTAGCAGGGGAACTTGTACCAGGCCGTGGACCCATTCAGAGGCTTGCCCTTGGGTTTATTGAGGCAGTAGCAGAGTCCCATCTTCTCCAGCAGCTCCAGCAGCAGTTGCAAATCCTGCTGGGCCTGGACGTGAGGCTTAAGCAGCAACCGAATGACATGGGCCGGCAAGAGCCCGTGAAGCAGAAAGCCCTCCACGTAATGATGGAGCTGGGTGGCCCGGAGCAGGTCCTGGCTGGTCGGTGGCAGTGCCATTACGAGGGAGCTTTCCCCGTCTCCCTCGCCCTCTCCGTTGGTCCCTAGGAGCAGCTTATGCAGCAACAAGGAAGGATCCCTCTGGAAAAAGACATTGAGGATGTCAATGAGGCGGGTGAGGTTGTGGAAGACGTGTTCCTTGAGGGCTGGGCTGTCCTCAAAGTAGAGCAGTTTGCCGCTCTCGTGCAGGTAGGACAGGGCGCTCTGCAGCCGGTCCTCGGTCAGACCTGCCTGCAGGCCCAGGCGTGCCGAGTCCCACCAGCTCAGCCAAAGCCGCTGTGCCTGAGGGGGCTGGAAATGCAGTTCCTCCAGCACCTGCCAGGACCGGGGCAGGACTCTGTGTAAGTTGGGGAAGATTTCCCGGTGCTCAGCTACCGAGAGCAGCTTGTCCCGAAGGCGCTGTAACTGGCGGGGGTCCCTGCAGCTCACAGGCAGCACCGGGGAGAGGATCTGCAGCCGGTGGTTGAGCAGGTACTGGAAGTGGGCCTTGCGCCGCCGAAGGTTCTTGTCTGACACACCATAGTACGCGGCATGGGGGCTGGCTGAGCGCAGCTCGAAGTCGCGGGCCAGCGCCTCGTCCACCACCTGGGCCAGGCGGCTCAGCCCCTCAGCATCGCGCTTCTCCTGCAGGGCGATCTGGCGGTGGATGTCCAGACACTTTTCCTCCAGCTCCCGCTCCCCACACAGGTCTGCGTGCGTGCCCACAATGCACACCACCGCGTGAGGCACGCGGGCCCCCACCCGATGCAAGAAGGAGCCCACGGTGGTAGGAAATCGCCGTGGCTCGTAGGTGGCCAAGTTCACCACCAGCACATAAAGGGCCCCTGGGGAGAGGAAGAAGGGCTGGATCACCTCGTAGCTTTCATCTCCGGCTAAGTCATACACAATGAACCGCAGGCCCCGGGAAGCGTCGGCTGTCCAACTGGTCACCTCGATGCCCTTGCTCGGGGGCGGCGGTGGAGGTGAGTAGCCCTTGTCCTTGTCCCCTCCTTCACTTGCCTCCACTCTGTCCTCAGTGAGGCAGTGCCGGAGCAAGGTCTTCCCGGCAGCCTTATGGCCCATCAGGAGCAGCTTGAGGCGGGGCTGAACTGCCGGCTGGGAGTGGGCCAGCTCCTTCTGGTAGGCTGCGATGTAGGGGATCCCCTTCATACAGACCTCGTAGGGGGGCTGGATCAGTGGGTTGTCCTTGATCTTCCACAGGCCCACCCGGGAGAGCTGGCCAAAGTTGTCCGGCAGCACAGCGATCTGGTTGCCCTGCAGCACGAGCTCCTCCAAGCCCGTCAGCTCCACAATGGAGTCCGGCAGGTAGCGGATCCGGTTGTTGTCCAGCCACAGGGTGAGGAGCCGGCCCAGGCCTGAGATCAGGGATGGCACTGAGGTGAGCTGGTTGCGACTAAGGTAGAGCTCCTCCAGGCCAGCCAGGGGCAGCAGCGCGGCAGGGAACTCCTCAAAGAGGTTGGAGGAGAGGTTGAGCATTTTGAGTCTCTGCAGATGGCTGAACTGGGCGGGCAGAGCCTGCAGCCTGTTGTTGTCTAGCATGAGGCTCTCCAGGCTGGCCAGCTCACAGAAGCCCTCAGGCAGGGTGCCAAGCTCGGCCCCACTCAGCCAGAGGATTTTAAGGGCACGCAGGGCACTGATACCCTCAGGTAGGCCTCGGAGCCGGTTACTGGACACGTCCAGCTCCTCCAGGGCAGCCAGCTGCAGCAGCTGCCCAGGAAAAGCGGTGAGCTGATTGTGGTCCACATCGAGGGTGCGCAGGCGGCAGAGGCAGGAGAGGGAGTCGGGCAGGTGCGCCAGGCGGTTAAAGCTGACATCCAGCTCCTCCAGGTGGGCCAGCGAGCCCAGCTGGGCGGGCAGGGCGGGCAGCTGGTTGTGGCTGAGGTTCAGCTTGCGCAGCTCGTGCAGAGCGCTCACCACCTCCGCGCCCAGAGCCGTCAGTCGGTTGTGGCTCATGTCCAGCTCGGTGAGGTGGTGGCCCAACTCGGCCACCGCCGGGGGCAGCCGGGCAAAGCGGTTCCTCCGCAGGACCAGGACGCGCAGGCTGCCCAGCGCCGACCCCAGCCCCTCGGGCACCTCCTCCAGGCCGTTGTTCCCCAGGTTCAGCACCTCAATGTCCCCGATGTTGGCCGGCAGCACGAGCTGGGGGGCGTCGGGGGAGTCGATCTGGTCGGCCCCGACCCCCGGGCAGCCCCCGGCCGCGCTGAGGGTGAGCTGGCGCAGGTTGCTCCGCAGCTTCCTGGCGCGCAGGGCGGCGTCCCGCCACAGCCTCACCGTCTTCAGGTTCCCACTGTCCTTCCCAGCCATGGCGGGGCCCCGGGCCGACACCCTCGCGCGGGCGCGGGAGCTCACAGCTCCATGCCGCGCTGCGCCCGGGCGGGCGCCAGGCTCCCGGTCGCTCCCGCTCCTCTCTCCGCACCCGCCCTCGGCGACCGGCGGCGGGTCCTAGCGCAGCCAGCGGCCGGGCGCCCGCAGCTGGGGGGCGGCGGCGACGCGAGCAGCTCCGGGGGGCGCCGAGCCGGCGGCGCGGGGGGAGGCGGCGGCCGGCGGGGAGTGCCGCTCGCATTCTCCTACCTCCGGGGCCATGGGCGCGCCGCGGAGGATGCCTGCTGCTCCTCCTCCGCTCCGCCCGCCGCGCGGCGCCTCCGTGCCCGCTCCGGCTCCGCTACCCTCGCAGCCGCGGCCCCGCGGCCCGCAGCGCCGTCGCCTCCGCGAGCTCCTGGAGGAGGGCGGCGCTTGGCTCGGCGGCGGGCATGTTGCGAGCACAGGGCCGGGGTGCAGCCGGGAGGAGGGGCGGCGGCGGCGGCACCTCCCGGTCTCTGCTTCCCGGGGCCCGGGAGAGAGCGCGGGCGCCGCGTCCCCGGCACTGGGAGGGCGCGATCGGGAAGCGGCAGCGCCGCCCGGCGGCTCGGCCCCCACGTGACCGGCGGAGGCGCCGCGTGTTCCCGGCACCGCCCCAGGGGCGGGCGCCCGGTGCGGGGACGGGGGCGCCTGGCTGGGTGCCGGCCACTTGGCGGGGACGTGCGGGGAGTGGGTCCTGGCTGCGCACCCCAGGCCCCGGGACCTCGTGTTTGGATTCGTCTGCTCTGGCTCTTTGTTGCCCCCAAGCCTCCAAGGATTTCTTTTCTCTCCGGGTGCGTAGGCTGCGCTGTCGCCCTTTACTCATTCTTGACCGCCCTCTCCCTTCCACTCACCCTACATCCACTCGGTAATGGAACTGGCAGAATTCAGGGGCTTGGGTTTCATTGTTGCACCTAATAAGTACACAAAAGGAGAAATGCAAGCAGCCATTCATTCATCTGATATATATTTATTGAGGCCCTATTTTGTGAAAAACCAGCTGAGGCAGGTTCTCAGAGCCCCTGGGGCAGGCTTTGAGCAGGCTCTCGGCAGACCTAATTGGGGGTTGGGCTGCGGGGGGGGCGGGGGGGGGGTGCATGGTGAAGCACAGTGTTTTTTTCTGGGGTGTCCCATTTATCATTACTACAACCCTGGGAGCTAGGTACCATCTCCCCAAACTACAGAGCTTATGTTGTAGGTTCAAGAAAATGGCAGGCAAACTTAGCAGCCCAATGCTCACTTCTAAAGTTGATATTTTCCTTTTTGAGGAAGTTTCCTTGTCACATCTATGCTACGTACATAATTCCTTCAGAATCTTAAAACTTATTGAGTCTCTGGGTATCACCTCCATCACTGCCTCCAGGTTAGTTAAGAATGAAGCAAATTCTTTTCGGAGACACAAAACAATTCATTGGTTAAATCTACCACTTAACACTTGTGACTATCCCCCATGCATGACAATGCCGTCCTTTGGGGACCCATAGCCAGGTGAGAGGAGTTAGGTTGACACACAGGCAGGCAGGGCAGGGGTCCAGTGGAAAACAAAGGCAGGTGGGACAGAGGCGGAGGCAGCCAGGGCAGTTTGAGCAGCCTAATCACAGAAACCAACCATGCAGGAATAACAGACTGTTTTAGACTCAGAGCCAGAGGCATGTGAAACTAGGGAGGGACTGCAACAAGAAGGTGAACTGATGGTGAACTGAGGCATAGAAACAGGAAAATTTAAAGTCCCTTGCTGGGCAAGAATGCTTGAGGGAATCAATCAGGTGGTGACACAGGCTTGTAGCACATATATACTCCTAGACCAATTAGCTTCCCTGGCAACCCTTTATTGGGCCCCTCCCTGTGCCGGCAGTCTGAATCTGCTTGCAATAAGTTTTCCACGCATTTGCTTAAATCTTCCGAGATCTCATTTTTCAGCTTCGAGACATGACAGGGGGACGACTCAGCTTGCTATTCCAGTTATCACTGGGGCAGTTATTGCAGTTATTTTAGTAGTTATAGTTTGTCTCTTCAAAAAGAGCAACTGAACATTTCAGCTGGAAATCCGCCCCAGGGATGGTTGTCAAGCCTGGCTCTACATCCGAGAATGTGCCCTCGGACAGGTGGGTCCCAACTATGTGTACGTTACCAGGGAGAACTGAGCGGTGTGCACCTGAAGGAGTTCCTGGAAGATCACATTGCTGGAGGAATCCGTGACCTCCCACCTCAAGAAAATTCTAAATCATTCTAGGCTGACTTTTTTTTTCCTTTTTTTTTTTTTTTACATAGAAGGAAACAGGACCAAGACATGAAGCAACTTCCCAGCCAGGTAAAGGGTAGAGTCAGGTGTGTCAGCTCCCCTTGTGGAATGATTCCCCTGAAGACATCAACTTTGTGGTCAGACCCCAAATCTCCATCCTCTGGCGCATCTAACTCCAATCTAAACCTCAGCCTGCAGCAGGAGATGGGAGAAGGCATCGGCTTCCTACCTTAAATGGCTAAATTGAAGTCCTAGAGTGGTTTGGATTAGATCTAAATAACCTGTGCTAAGCTGTTCCCCTTTAGAAGCCGTCAGAAAATTACGCTTCCATTTTAAATGTCTCTGGAAATTGTGCTCTTCTCTGTCAGGGGATAATGTGTCATTTGCTTTATCTAATAAAGAGAGCTGGCCAGGACCAGACAACACCCCGTTTGTGGCCACTCTGGGCCCTCACTGAAGCACCGCAGCCTGGTGTGAATGAGTTTGCTCAGAGCCCCTTGGCCTGCTATGTGCTGTTGCCGTCGATGTGGTGGGAAGCCTTGTTGTAAAAAGACTTATCTGAGAGTTTGTTCTTTGAAAGGTAGATCAGGAGAATGCAATGTGCCCAGTGTGGCTCTTAAATCCAGACAAGAAGGATCCTGCCTTGGGCTCCCAACCTGGTCCTCCTCTTGCCACATCCCACCCCTTGTGGTAAAATTTCTGATGGGCTGAGGGGCAGGATGGGAAAGCCCCTTCAGCCTTCTAGAACATGCTTGGTGTGAAGGACACAGAAATGCCTGTGCAAACAGTCTCAGGCCTGCTTGTAGGAGGCCGGGCAGTCTTTCAGAGCCATTCGGGAGTTACGTGGCCATTCGAGGCCTATGGGGTATGGACGGAGTTGACTGTCCCTCTGTGGCCACAGGCTCCTCACTGTGCTCAATGGAGCCTAGGTTGGGATGAGAGGACCACATTTGCTAGCCTGATATAGCACACTAGAGGCCCGGTGCATGAAATTTGTGCATGGAAGGGGGGTGTCCCTCAGCCCAGCCTGTACCCTCTCCAATCTGGGACCCCTCGAGGAATGTCCGACTGCCCATTTAGGCCCGATCCCCAGGATTGGGCCTAATCAGGCAGACATCCCTCTCACAATCCAGGACTGCTGGCACCCAACCACTTGCCTGTCTGCTTGCCTGATTGCTCCTAACCACTTCTGCCTGCCAGCCTGATCACCCCCTAACCATTCCCCTGCCAGCCTGATTGATGCCTAACTGCTCCCCTGCCGGCCCAATTGCCCCTAACTGCCCTCCCCTGCAGGCCTGGTCACCCCTAACTGCCCTCCCCTGCAGGTCTGATCGCCCCCAACTGCCCTCCCTTGCAGGCTTGGTCCCTCCCAACTGCCCTTCCCTGCTGGCCTGATTGCCCACAACTGCCCTCCCCTGCAGGCCTGGTCACCCCTAACTGCCCTCCTCTGCCAGCCATCTTGTGGAGGCCATCTTGTGTGTTGGAGTGACGGTCAAATTGCATATTACTCTTTTAGATAGGATTTAAACATTTAAATATACAATATATGGACCACCACCGAGGTATGACCAGGAATCAAACAGCAACCTCCTGGTTCATAGGTCTACACTCAACCACTGAGCAGCCATGCCAGCCAGGCTCCCAAATCTTTTCATTTCTCCTATCTTTCTTACTCTGTTTTCATTTTAGCCACTGCCCTATGATTGCAGTAATATCTCAGGCACATTGGCTTTCTCCCAGAGTGCAGACCCTCTGTTAGGGCACAAGTCTTCTAGGGGAGAACATGTGTGAAGAGGTTGGGTCTTGAGCTACAGGGGAGGATCCTATGCATTGTGGGCATTAGTCTTCCATTCATTACCTGTCAATAACAGTGTGGATGGCCCCAGGCAGCCGGGCTACTCTGCTGTCACCCCTTGGTAGACTAGCAACAAGCTCCAAGGAAGCTTTCATCCCTCATTTATTTTGTTCTGCCTTCAACATACTTGACTTCCTTCCATCTTGACAGATTTTTTCCTTGACCTTGCTAACCTTCTAGCTACTGTCTCATTGCCTTACTTCATTTCTCTGTCAAATATCTTACATAAGTGGTCTGGGGCCAGTCTGGTTGTCTCCACTGGTTCCCTTCTTGGACCCAGTAATCTGGCTTCTATCCCCAGTAGCCAGCACATTTCTCTCTAGAAGGTTCACTCACGCTTCTTCCTTCCTTGACCTCCCATCATTGAAAATGTTAAGTAACTTCCCTTGGAAACTTTCTCAACTCCTTGATTTTAACCTTTTTTGTTTTGATTTTGTTAGATGAACGTGTAGGAAATCAAGGGAAAGGTAGGAAGAGGAGGAGGAAGGCACGTCCCTCTAAAACAGCGGTTCTCAACCTGTGGGTCGCGACCCCACAGAGGTCACCTAAGACCATCGGAAAACACAGATATAATTACATATTGCTTTTGTGATTAATCACTATGCTTTTAATTATGTTCAATTTGTAACAATGAAATTGGGGGTCACCACAACATGAGGAACTGTATTAAAGGGTCGCGGCATTAGGAAGGTTGAGAACCACTGATTTAAAAGGTTTTAGGCCTGTTCCGAAGAAGAGGATTAGAAATAAAAATAAAGCCAAATTTGACAGAGAGCAGTTTAACCACAGGGATCTTCAAGGTCATGTCCTCTAAACTCTGGATATTGGGATGGCTGAGCTATCTAAGAATAATCACCAGCAATAATAGCTAACATGCATGAAGGCTTCCTGTGAACTCAGGCTCTGTTCTGTATGCTCTTCGTGCAGTGTTTCCTTTAACCTGCACAACAGCCTTGAATAGCAGGTCCCATTATTATCCCGTTTTACAAACGGAGAAAAATGGAAACGGAGCTACTGAATGGCAGAATCCAGGCTCACAACAAGGTGAAGTCCAAACCTCCTGTTTTAATCACTGTGCTGTTTCCTGGAGGTGTGGTGGGGGGTGGAGAGGAATGGGTCTAAGTTCATTGTCAGCCAACTGAGTATTTTAAGCTGTAGAAAAGTGGTACCAGCTGAAAGCAGGGAAGACACCCATCTACAGTTAAAGTGAACTCTGCTCTTATAATATGTATGAAGAACATTGGGCCACCCAAAGATTAAACAGCCCCAAACACAAGAACTAGGTTTAACATCTGTGATTAAAACAGAATTTCTCTGCCATTTGTTGATAAATTGTTTGATTTGCTTCTTTGTTTGCTTATTTGAAGGAAAAAGGGATAAGTACAAGTGTCCATAAAAATCTGTCCTTCAATTAGAGGGCATTTTAGATTCTGCCTTTTAAAAAGATTTAAAAAAAAATAAATAAATAAATAAATAAAAAGGAGAAAGAAAGCTTCCCTCACTCTTCTTTCCCAAAATATAATAAATCTGCCTTGGACTCACCGTCTGATTTGAATGAGAGCCAGTTCATATCAGCACTGGCTAAGAAGTCTGAGAGTGTCACTTAACTACCAACAGGGAGCGTAAAAAATGTGTTCAAGACACTGACTCCCCCTGAGAGCAAAGGCAACACTGTCCCAATGTCTGTTGTTTTTTCTTTCCCCTGCACTACAGAAAACAAATTTATCTTGGACTGGGCAGCATTCGATTTAACATTGGCTCTCTTTGTGTTTCCAGGTCAAGTGGGAACACATATGCTCCCTACTGAGGAAAATAAACTGCAGTGTATTTTTAGCATCCGTTGGAAGGACTCGCAGCTGAAGCTACGCAGGATCCAGGCCATTTACTGAAGGCCCAAGGATTGGCAGCAATGTCACCAAGAATTCCAGAATGTGCCCTGGGGGTCTGTAAGTAACAGTGTCCCTTTGCCCCCCACCTTACCCTCGACCATTCGCAACCCCAATCCTATTGCAAACATTTTTCTCCTGAGAAAGAGAGAGAAAACATTCCAGTGAAAGATCAATGAGAAACATCTGTGAAATAGTTATGACACATGACGCTAACTATAGCACACTTGGCACTCTGAGATGGAGCAGGTTCAGGAGGGAAGGGGGAGCATTGGGAGCAGAGATGATGCCCTCCCTCCCCTTGGTGCCTCACGCTGGAGATGAGCCATGCACAGGGAGCCACCATATGTGTCTTCGTGAAAGAGGACAGGTGCCACTCTGGCACACCTGGCCGCTCCATGGCATGGTGAGCTTGCCCAGATGGTCTCACCCTCCATGGGTGGCATGGGCAATGTGCAAGGGGGCCCTCGTCTGAAATGGAAGGTTTGCTCACGAGATTTGGTGACAGTGAGACATATGGTTTAAGACCTTCCTTCTGCCTGCAGTTTTGAAAAATATTTTCCATTTTTGACAACCGATTTAGGCAACTGTGTTAACGTAAAAACATTCAAACCGATAAAGAATGTTTGTGAGTTTATTTTAACCAAACTCTTGACAATTGCTGGGTTTGGAATAATGCTCCAGAGAATGGCGGCTTTCATCTATTTTTTTAAAAAATATATTTTCTTGATTTCTTTACCGAGAGGAAGGGAGAGGGATAGTGAGTTAGAAACATGGATCAGCTGCCTCTTGCACACCCCCTACTGGGGATGTGCTCACAACCAAGGTACAGGCCTTTCACTGGAATCGAACCTGGGACCCTTCAGTCCGCAGGCCAATGCTCTATCCACTGAGCCAAATCAGTTAGGGCTTTCATCTATTTTTAAACATTGCAATCAAAGGAGGAGACATCAGTGGGTTACATGAAACTCATTGGTGATAGAATAGAGGGGCGGGAAAAAGCAAAGCAGGGAATCCTCTGGGATTGGGTAAAGAGTAAAATGACAGACGCATACGTAGCTGGGTGCAGGATAGTTAACAGTCAATGATTTTCATAACAACAGTAACAATGAAGGAATCTGTGGTATCTGCCCTGGCACCCAGGGCATTTGGTTGTGTCCTGAGGGGTCCGGAAAAAGGGAAGTTTCAAGTTACCTTGACATTTCAATGATACTTTTTGTTATCGTAGATGCAAAAAGACAATAAGTTAAAGTAAAGGTTGACCTTGTCAGGGAAGATACAGGCGTAGGAGGTGACTACCCACCATAAGTGCTTTTAGTTAAAGTTTTTAGTTTCAGACCATGCCAGGTCTTTGAGTTTGAAAGACTGCCGTGCAAGCCTTCCCTGAGCTTACCAGGTTAGCATGTGGCCCCTTTCATCCACAACTGTTAGCTTTTAAATGAATGAGACAATGATATTGTATCCTTCTTTCAAAAATAAAAACAAGCCCTGACCGGTTTGGCTCACTGGCTAGAGCATCGGCCTATGGACTGACGGGTCCCGGGTTCAATTCCGATCAAAGGCATGCACCTCGGTTGCGGGCACATCCCCAGTAGGGGGTGTGCAGGAGGCAGCTGATCAATGTGATGTTTCTTTCTCATTGATGTTTCTAACTCTCTATCCCCCTTCCTTCCTCTCTGTAAAAAATCAATAAAATATATTTAAAAACAAAAACAAAATCTTGAGGCATTTGTAAAATAAAAACCAAGTCTTTGGTGGCGTCATATAACACACATCATGAAGCAGAGCGTAAGATAAAAAATGTGAGGTCTTCCCGAAGAACTATAATTTTGATTAGTATTGTAGTTATTAAAAGACAGGAAAGGCAAAGTTACCGTGGATGTTATTCATGATATTTATTACTCTTGTACCCAAAAAAGAAAACTTTCTGCTTAAAATTCTGTAGAATAGAACAATAAAACCTGATCCCCTACCTACTCTACATCCTACGAAATAGTGAGATAATAAGGGTTTATGGTGAGCTGTTATATAAGAATCACGGTTGGTCATAACTTCATTATAAATTCATCTAATATTTATAGAAGGCCTGTGCAGGATAGCTGAATACGAGACTACTTGGGAAAGCTTCTATCTCTGTTCTCATCATCAAGGTGTAAAAGTAAAGCATTCATCTGATATTAAGGCCGTCTCAAAAGCTATGGCCCTCTCCTAAATTAGATACTGCCTAGTTCAGAATTGTCAGAGCAGGTTGAATGGACGTCCTGATGACGTCGCCAGTGACCCCTCAGCTTTGTTCCTTTGTTCCCTAACTACAGTGGCTCTTCAGGTGTAAAAACAATTTGAGGAAGCCCTTCCCTTCCTCTGCAAGGTAACATTGTTCCGAGGGTGTGGTTGTTCTTGAAAACAATTTTATTAACACTACATTTTCAAAGCTAAGAATATTAAGTTTATATATTAGGAGTTTGGGTTTTGTTCTAAGTACAGAATATTGAATGTATTACTTTTCCCTTCCTTTGGCTTTTAAAATACATTTTTTTAAAAAAAATAAAAATAAGTTTAACGTGATGTACAAATTAAGTGAAAATATTTCCCAAAGTAAACTGGAGAAATTATAGGAGCCTTATACTAGAAGTTTAGGTTTGTAGGAGAGAAAAAAATATTTTTCCCTCTACCCTTCTGAATTCTTGGCTAAGACCTCTGTAATGAAGGACAGATCAACAAGAGAAACACAAACAGAAGTTTATTAACATGTATAACGCATGTACACATGGGAGAGACCCAGGGATAAGTGACTAGCTCCCGGGGGTGACTTAGAATCAGGTGAAATACCATGCTACTAGGACAGCGGAGAGAGATGTAGGCCTCTTGTGGGAGGGTAAAGATTTTCAGGAGAGATGAATGGGCCCTGAGCAGAACAGATGGGCGGTATGATCCTGTGTGACAGGTGTGTCTGGGTGTGATGGCCATTTCTAGCCTCTTCTCCTGGCATGGGTCAGTCCTCCCTTGTTGATGACACTCCTGAGGAGGGATCTGTGACAACCCAGTTCCTTTTGGAAGATCTTGAGGCAGATGAGGGAGCTGAGAGAAAGCCTCTCCCTGCATCTGCTGTTTCTTAAGTGCTTACAGCTCAGAGAAATCAATATGCCCAAGCAGCATGTTTTGAAGTGGCTCGTCCTGAACTCCTACAGTCGTATTCTGGGTGGCATTCAGCTACTCTTCAGGTTCCACGCGACACTGGGCATAGTCACCTACCACTCCCGCTTGTCATTGTTGTGTCAGAGGCATTGTCTCTGCAAAACAACAGAATTAACTAGGACCAAATTCTCAGGTTTTTTCTTAAATGTCAGTGGTTACTTTCTTGCAGATGATATTCCTGAAATGGATGGTTTTCATTTATTTTTAAATTTCCTGGCATGTAACATTACATCTATGCTAGAAGTTATAGGGGAGGATCTTTAAAAATACAGTTAATGTGATGCGTACTTTTTGTATCTGTGTAAATTCACAGCAGTCCCTTTGGCTGCCCCCTGTCTACCGAGCAGTGGGTTCCCACAGCCATGTGGACAATGTGACCTCACACTCCTACTCTCAGTGCCCAAGGTAGGCACCTCATTAAAACTGGACCAAAGTTCCTATCTTAGAATTTTAGATTTAGGATTGTAGGGAAAGAAAAATCTCCCTCTAAACTTCTGACTTCTTGGCTAAGACTCCTGTAATAAAAGACAGATTTATAAGAGAAAAACAAACAGAAGTTTATTATCATGCATACCTCAAGTATACATGGAGATAATCAGGGGGAAATGAGTAATTAGAACGCTGGCTCATAGGGCAATTTCAACTGACACCATAAGAAAGTGTGGGGGAGGCCTGTTTTGGGGCGTAGTGGAGGGTTTTGCACATAAATTACTGCCTTTGTTAAGGGTCTAAAGTTGCCTCCAGGGATTAAATTTTGTCTTTCCTGGTAGAGAAGGAAGTAGGGAGACCTTTGAAAATATATGTCTGCTTTTAGGCATATAAGGGGAAGGCAGTGTACTTTTCTTATATCTGCTTCTTCTCAATAGCCTTCAGGCTCAACATAATCCTATGCCAACATGGCGTATTCTGCAATGGCACGTCCTGCTACCCTTCAGGACTGAGAGTAGGAAAGTCGGTCTTTCTACGTTAAATTGGAGACCATGAGCAGCTATCCCTAGACCATCACAGGGACTTGGGAGCAGAGGAAATCCAATCCACCAAGAAAGGAAAAGGCGGATATGACATGATAGCAGATATGAGCGTGAGAGCATATTTCTTGGATTTCCAACATTTTGGTTTCTTGCCTAGTATCCTTGAGTCTTAGCTACATTTTCTGCCCCAAAGACTTGTAATAAATCCTCTGCTTTTGCTAGAGCACCCTTGAGTTGGTTTCTCTTCTTTGAAACCAAAAGAATCTTAGCATAGAAATTCTATGGAAGCAAGTTTGCAAGTTACAGACCATCAAAGAAAAATGGTTATGTCATAGTAGATGAGGCGAGAAGTGGGGAGTCCTGGAAGCAAAGAACATACATATGTTAAAGTATGTTCAGTTTTTGCAGCCTCAAGGAAATGCAATAAGATCAAGAAAAAGAGAAGCTTCAGGCCAAGGTTGCCCAGCTAAAAATAGACAGAAAAGGAGAGTAAGAGTACAATTATGGCCCTGGCCCGGTGGCTGAGTTGTTTAGAACATTGTCCCATACACCAGGTTCCATTCCTGGTCAGGGCACATACCTAAGTTGCTGGTTCAACCCCCAGTATAGGAGGCAATGTATCAGTGTTTCTCTCTCACATTGATGTTTCTTGCTCTCTTTCTAAAATCAATAAAAACATATTCTCAGGTGAGGAATAAAAAAAAAATACGGTTATGTTCCAGAAGCCTTTCTGACTATAGCCACCCACCTGAGACTGCTCCAAGTTAGTCCAAGAGGCATCTAAAAGACACAAATAAATACAACCAGCTTCTGTATTGTAGCCATTTTTGAAATGAAAATTGGTGTGTTTGTTGAGAAAATGTATCATTTCAGTGATTAGAATGGGGATATCTGGGAGAAACCAGAGGTGCAGAGAACTTCAACTCCAGAATTTCAGCTTTAACACCCCAAACCCTCCATAGGTGTCCCCTCTATTTGCCCCACCAGATAAATGTGATGAGGCCTGCCCCATTGCAAGCAGTTCAGCTCAAATCTAATGGAGGCACAAGTAACATTTCATGATACATTAAGGGGAGAAAGTGCCATCAGAAGCTAAAGAAAATAATGGCGGAAATATTTTCAATTCCTAAAACATAGGGTTTATACTTAAGTTATATAAGGAATTTTTATAAATCAGCTTGCAAATGATAAGTACCACAATTTTTAAAAAGCATGCATGGAAAACAATTTATAGTAGAAGAAATAGAGAGAGATAATAAATATATACAAAATAGTCTCATCTCAAAAGTAATCAAAGTAATGACTTTAACGTAGGATACCATATTTAGCCCATCAAGTTAAAGTAGATTTTTAAAAACTTTCATTCTTTTTTTAAAAAGTGATTTATAGAGAGAGGAAGGGAGAGAGAGAGAAAGAGAAACATCAGTGTGATATGCTACCCATGATTGAACCACACCTGGATATGTGCCCTGACAGGGAATCAAACCCATTACCTTTTGGTGCATGGGATGATGCTCAACCAACTGAGTCACGCTGACCAAGGTGGCATCGATTTTTTTATATAGCTACTAAGCTTTATTTCTCCTAGTTATATTGAAATATAATTGACATACATCTCTATTTAAATTTCAGGTGTCCAGTGTAATGGTTTGACATATATATATATATATATATATATATGATGGTTGCAAAATGTTTAGTTAGCATCCATCATCCAATACAGATACAATGAAAAGAAAAAAATTAAACATAGAATATTAATAGGAGAATAAGGAAAAGGGGGCACTCCCAGGTATTAGAGCAGAATGTGTTGGTACAACTCTGTGTAGAGCATTTAATAAGAAGCAGGAAAATCCTGAAGAAATGTTTATCCTGGGAATTGTTTTAAAGAAATAGAGCTCCATCTAGAAAGATATTTGGTGGGGAAAAATGACTTCACCATCATTTTCTTTAGCTTCTGATGTAAATAGATACATACATTGGGATATGTATGTATGTGTGTATGTTTAAATGTACATTCATTGAAAAAAAACCTGAAAATACATGCATCAAATTGTCAGTGGTTTTTATCGCTGCTTAGTCAAATTACAATTTTTTTTCTATAATAGGTGTCATCTTTATCATTAGAATAAATCATATTTCAAAAGAAAGTCATGCAGACAAATACATCTTTGTTCAAGCAATCACAAAAAGCACTTGTTATATTTAGTTATATTTAATATACTAGTATTTCTGTATTTCAATTTCTGATTTGTTTGAGCGCAAGTATGTTCAAAAGGAAATCCCATTTTTCCCGGAATATCAGTCTAAGCTTCCTTCTTGGCCTTAGACACAGCTCTTATCCAACATGTGCAAGTTTCTCCAAGTTAATTGCATGAGACTTATAAAACTGGAGACTTCTAAATACATTCCAACAATGTTGAGAATATGGTTGCCTAGTATTACAATATAAAACATTTCCAGAACTCTGACTTCTAGCTGCAAAAATATTTGAACCAGATGAATTTCTGAAAATGCTGCCTTTGCTTAACTTTAATCTTGCTAAGGAGAGTTTTCTGCCCCATCCCCCTTTTTCTTTTACACCAGATCTCTCTAATTCCACCTCCTTGTTCCACTGAGCTGATGTGGGAAAAGTAGGCAAATGCATGAAGGCATCAAGGTCAACGGCAGGTAAGGAGACCCAGAATCCCAAAGGAGAATTCCCAGAGAAAGAATCTGGGCTAGTGACCCATATCATCCTCTAGTTGGCCTTCTCCTGGCATTTGAATGGAGGCCGGTGCTTAATGTTTTGTTCACATTAACACAAATATGCTACCAGAAGAGCTCACATGTGAGAATTGAAGGCACTGTGAGAGGCTCGGTAGAGAGAGACATTTAGGTCAATGGGGCCTCTCACATTAGTCATCTAAGTTAGGTAAGCTCTTATTTAGAAGTTTCATAACCAAGTGGTAGTAAAAATCACTTTGCAATTAGAGTGAACTCTCTACCTACCTCACATGGTAGCTGTGGGCACGTTTCATAGCCACCATGATTCTCAGTTCCATCAACCATAAAAGGAAGTAGATGAATTATATCTGATGCTTAATTTGGAGTCCGACAATGGGCATCAGAGGGTTCAAGAACATGTGAAATTATAAGCAAAATTATATACATTTTTGTAGAGGGAAGAGCCATAGCTTTCATCAGGTTCTTAATTCATGAATCCAAGGAAATGATGACCCAGTGAATTATATAATGTTTAAATATCAATCAACATTAATATTCTTCAGTTCTCCATTTATGTATATTTTGGTAGTGTTTTTTTACCTTATTAAAAGACTTTATTTTATACCATGTTAGGTTTACTCAAACTTCAAGTTGTTGAGGTCAGATTCCCAGGTGAAGTAAATATTATTATTTCCTTTCTCATCTACAAGGAGTTTTTCCACAGCAAGGATTTGTGTATGTAAATATACACAAGAGCTACAAAATGCAGAAAACTTAGTAAAGTAATTAACCATCTAATGCAGCGATTTCAACCTTTTCTATCTCATGGCACCTGTAAACTAATTATTAAAATTCTGCAGCACAACAAAAAACATACTTTTTGTCCATCTGACAAAACATAGGTATAATTTTGATTCCACCACACCAGATGGCTATTGTTGTGTTGACTGTTGTCATTTTTTTATTTGACAATCTAAGGGAGAAGAGGTCAGTGCCCATGAATAAATAGTCAGGAATTGCATGTTTTAAAATTCTTGTAGCACACCAGTGTGCCTGCCACGCCCACAGGTTGAAAATCACTGATCTAGTATATATGATGTCAATGATGGAAATCTTGCCATTATGTGAAATTTGAAACAATTTACTAGTTTAGTTGGTCTAATTAAAATATCTTAAAATGAATATATGTTAAGATTGATTTTTTACAGTGTTATCACTATATGATCCTGATCCTGACTTTGTTTTTAAAGAGTAGGTAGAAAAGAAATTGGGGGAAGTCATAGAACTATAATTCCAAGACCCCAACCCCATCCATAATAATAAAAGTGTAATATGCTAATTAGACCCGAAAGCCAAACAACCTACCAGACGTCATTCCGGACATCCTTCTGGACGAAGCTGCCATAGAAGGGGCTGAGGCAAAGGCAGTTAAGGGCGATCAAGCAGGCAGGCGAGCAGTTAGGTGCTATCAGGCAGGCAGGTAGAGTGGTTAGGGGCAATCAAGCAGGCAGGCAGAGTGGTTAGGGGCAATCAGGCAGGCAGGCAGGCAGGCCAGCGGTTAGGAGCCAGGGGTCCCAGATTGTGAGAGGGTGCAGGCCAGGCTAAGGGACCCCCGCCCCCCATGTGCGAATTTTGTACCTAGTCTAGTCAATATATAATTAACCGTAATAAATTCAGATTCTTCAGATTTTCATTTCCTGTTTGACATCCATAATCAAATTGTCTGTTCACACCAGTCTCTCTGAAATTTGCCTACTCTTTCAAGAGACTGCATTAGAAGTGACTTAATGATGACACACAGCATCTTATTGCCCCGTAAGCTGACTTCAGGTATAATGGGAAATTCTGTCTGGGAATGAACACTAGCAGTGTCTGCCAGGGGCACTGAGTCAACACTCCAGACCACGGTCCTCTTTCCCAACCAGACAAGCTGGGCACCTGGAGCCCACATTCGTGGTCCTGGGCTCTCAGCAGTGATGTCTCACCATTTGACAGACATCACATCCACGACACAAAGAACAGCCTGGCCCCATAACTGTGAAGAACAGTCTGCTTTTATTTTTAAAGTATTTAACTCTGGATTGTTAGAGCTCTATAAAGGTCTCAAAAAGGGTTTAAATTCTGTAATTTGATTCTTAGATTTCTCATCTCTTTGAATTTTGAAAAATACCACTACCACATATTTTATGTGCAGCTTTGCTTCCAAAGAATAAAGTGGATTTTCAAACAAAGACTGAAATAAAACAGTTAAAAAGAAGTATGAGACAACTGGATAAACAAAATGTGGTATATACATACAGTGAAATATTATTTGGCCTTAAAAAGAAATGAAGTCCTGATAGATGCTACAACATGGATAAACCTTGAAGACGTTATGCTAGTGAAATAAGCCCAGTCGCAAAAAGAGAGATATTACATGATTCAGTTTATATACGGTACCTGGAGTAGCCAAATTCATAAGACAGAACGTCGAATGGTGATTGTCATACTTACTCTGAAGGAAAAGGGGAGGAATTAGGAATTGTTTAATGGGTATAAAGTTTCAGATTGGGAAAATGAAAAAATTCAGGAGGTGAATGATGTGATAGTTGTACAACAATGTAAATGTACTAATGCCACTGAACTGCACACTTGAAAATGGTTAAAATGGTAAATTTTATGTTATGCATATTTTTACCACAATTTTTGAAAATCTGCTTTATTAAAAAATTATGAGACTATAGAGAAATTTGAACACTGATTGGATAAAGAAAGTATTGTTCTTTATTTTAAGACTATCTTTATCTTTTTAGCGATACATATGAAGTAGTTATAAGCATAATGATATATCTGTCATTAGGTATATATGAAACAATTTTGGCTGTATGTTGATTAAATTTAAAAAGAGAAAGAAAAAAAGCAAAGCTATAAGCATGTATTGCTGTTAACCTGTTAAATGAAATCAAAATATAGATTGTGGGTTATTTTTTTAATCAAAATGCATTATCCATTATATTATTATTTATAGTTTTTGGTTTGCCTGAAATATCCAATATTTTTAAATCATTTTTATTATTTTGATTGTAAACATCTCAATGTTTTCCTTGTTCAGTGCAATAGTCTGTAAGATGTCAAGTTATAGAAGGCATTCACCGTGTTCTTTTGAACGATCTTTCAGCTTAATAAATCTAGTGTCTTGTTTGAGATCATAAAGAAAATATAAACTATGCATTTGGAGTCTCATTGCAGTGTCATTATTATTTAGGAGTCACTTTTTTCTTACTATGCAACTTCGCTGGATTAAAAAAAAATTATATCGCATTGTCATAGAATCTGCCTAAATACTAACACAAAGTTAACACGAATTGAATTTAGTTTCCTCATCCAAACTGTTTGATGTTGTCTGTTTCCCACACAAGATTGTAAATTCATGAGGACAAGGAATTTGTTTTCACCACTACACATTGACACATGGTAGATCACAATTGAATATCTGTTGAATCAATGAATAGACAAAGAGCTGAACATGAACATATGGCTAAAGAGAGTTAAACTTCTAGCTAGAACAATGAACTCAGTCATATCGTCAGCAACCTCTATGGGAACGTTGATGGAATTTAATTACATGTATAGTTCATCTTCAAAGTACATTCTAAATAAAATTTTAATACCACCTTGAAGCAGATGCCTAGAGTCCATTTTACAGATGGGAAATCTAAAGCACCAAAAATCTAAATCCTTAAAGAAAAATGCATGAGTCAATGTCAGAGATAGATTGAGAGAAGAATTTTAAATATTTGGTCTTGAGTGACTGTCTCCCCAAAGTTGTTTATCCATATCTTGCGCTTGTTACAACTCATTTGAAAGTATTTACTACTAGAGGCTCGGTGCACGAAATTCATGCCCGGGAGGTGGTGGGTCCCTCAGCCCAGCTTGCACCCTCTCCAATCAGGGACCTCTGGTTCCTAACAGCTCACCTGCCTACCTGATCGCCCTAACCTCTCTGCCTGCCTGCCTGATCGCCCCTAACTGCCTCTGCCTTGGTCCCCACCACCATGGCTTTATCCGGAAGGAAGTTGGATATCCAGAAGATGGCCAGTTGACTGGTCTAATTAGTATATTATCCTTTTATTAGTATAGATTCTTGAATTTGAAAGTCTCTCAGGTAAGAAGTCTGTTTGTTGTGACAGCAGGTGACTCAGTTCTGTCAATGTTTTCTCAAGAACTTGTTCCTCAATCTGTGTCCAGTAATCACAGAGTAAGTTGCTCTCTCAGCTGAAATATATGGTGTGTCACTAATTTACCAGAGAGTTTCATTAATGCTTGGCCCTCATTTAGTTTTTAAATGGATTAAACCACCCCAAATCTATTGCACACACAGGGGGAAACCTTGTATGTCGTGTGTATAAAATTAGAATTTAAGAGTCTAATTTTACTGATGATTCTTCAAACATTACTAGAAATGATATGACTCCAAAACTTAGTATGCCAGAGGGATCACACAACCTCATTTTTAATTGAAAAGTCTCTTCTTCTGTTGGGACTGTGGTTCTCAAATTTGGCTGCATTTTGGAATCACCTGGAAACTTTACAAGTACTGATACCTGGATTCCACCCCTGAGATACCGATTTATTTTATCTGGGATGTTGTCTGGGTTTTGTGAGTTTTAGAAGAAGCTTCTAAAGTTCAGCCAAGATGGAAGAGCCTCTTCTGACATGACCTGGGAATGGAACCCAGGAAGGAGGCCAAGCCAGAGGACCGTGGATACAAGGGCTTCTAGATTTCTCTTTAAATCCAGATATTTTAAACTATTTCAATAGTTTTAATATTTTATGGTATTCTTCACCCTGGGGTCATTTCGTAGAAGGCTCTAGTTTTACAGATCTCAGATTTAAGTCAAATTGGGCTAAGGTGAAAAAGATGTCAAGGTGACAACAACTAGGATAAAGTGTTTGAAACACCCCTTAAAATGTAAGTAACAAGCTATACAATTGTGAGATATAATGATTATTAATCAAAATTTTGACATGCTACATGAGCCATACAAGACCAAAGTGGTCATTTGTATGATATGAACTGCCTCCAAAATAATTCTTCGTAATAAACAAAAGTTACTCAAAATGTGTCAATTTTTATTTTGGAGATGTCCTTTCATCACCACCACTTTCGCTCGCAGGAAAATGAATTTAGTTCTTCATGCCTGAAAGTTGTAATGGCGACAGCTTAAAGTAAAATAACCCTGTTGCATCACCCTAGATATTACATTTAACAATTCCAGTCCCTCCAGAACAAAACCATTATGAGAGTTACTCCCATGCATGGTTTTCATTTGTCTTCTATCAAGTTTTTACACTTAGTACTTCCTCGGTTAGCTTGCTTGCTTAATTGTGAATGGTAACTAAGGCAACATACAAAAACAGATCCAAATGAGGAAAGAATTACAGAAAAAGAAATGCTTTTCTAAAAAATCAGCAAGAAAAAAGACGTGAACTCAGCTCTTGGAAAGCAAGGACTAGACACCCTGCCTGCATCAGTGTCTCGCCCTTGGCATCTTGTTGGTTGCTTCCAGAACCTAGTTCTCCCAGAGTCCTCGCCTCCCTTCAGGGACTTGCTTTATAATCACTTGATTACTTAAGCTCTTGGAAACCGAGTTATTTACCCTGCTTTGCTCCAGGCTGTTGGGCTTGCTTTGGGGTAGGTTTTCTGAAGCAAGAGGCTAGTGTCATCATTTAGCACTCCTATTAAAAACCCCCTTAATTCCTCCTGTTTAGTCTGGCTCACTGGGTGTTGCCCATAAAAACAGTTTGGCTTTTGTAATCACAATTAGAGCAGGGTGGTGTGACTAATCAGTCAGTTCATGGCATCTCTGTTATCTTCTATGAAGTGAGTCAGTTTCAGCATTCGCTTGTGCTCATGTGTCACTCCCTACTTTCTGATGTGCAAGTCTATATTTGTCCAGATGCGAGATGTTGGTTTTATTTTTAAGGCTGTTTTCTTTCTGAAAACATGTTCTATACTCCCTCTCAGGAGTGAAACTAACTCCACAGGAATTTGGAAGAATTCCCACAATAGGAGTTCCTATACAGATTCCCAGGGCAGAGAGGCCATTTTGTTCTCTCAGTTTGGGAAATTGTACCAATAATACAACTAGTTCAGGCCAATACACATGTACTGAATATTTACAAAGTGCCAAGTACTTTTCATATAGCATTGTTTTAAAATAAGGTTTATTTTAGAGCAGTTCTAGATTTACAGAAAAATTATAAAGATAGTAGAGTTCCCATATGTCTCATACTCAGTCTCCCCTATTATTAGCATAGGTTACAATCAATGTAATGACACAATAATGTATTGATGTTGATGCATTATTATTAACTAACATCCGTATCATTCATATTTCCTTTGTTTTTACTGAATGTCCTTTTTCTATCCCAAGATCCCATCCTGGATACATTACAATCATCATGTCTTCTAAGGGTCTGCGGGACTGTGACAAGTTCTCAGACTTTCATTTCAATGAACTTGACAGTGTTGAGGAGCACTCATCAGGTATTTTGTAGAAAGTCCCTTAATTCAGTTTTGATTAATGTTTTGGTCATTAGACTGGGGTTAAGTGTTCTTGAGAGGAAGACCACAGAGATAGAACACCATTTTCATCACATCATGTCAAAGGATGTGATATATGTATACACTCAACATGACTTAGCATTGTTGATGCTACCCTTGATCGCATGGCTGAAGCAGTAAGTGTCAGATTTCTCTACTGTCACTTATTTTACAAGTAGAGGCCCAGTGCACGAGATTCGTGCACTGGGGGGGGGGGGTCCCCTCAGCCCAGCCTCTGCCCTCTCGCAGTCTAGGAGCCCTTGGGGGATCCTTAGTGCTGCCGTGGAGGCGGGAGAGGCTCCCACCACTGCTGCTGAGCTCGCCAGCCATGAGCCTGGCTTCTGGCTGAGTGGCACTCCCCCTGTGGGAGCACACTGACCACCAGGGGGCAGCACCTGCATTGAGCGTCTGCCCCCTGGTGGTCAGTGCTCATCATAGCAACTGATAGTTCTGCCATTGGTTCGATTTGCATATAAGCCTTTTATTATACAGGATGACTGCCCTCTCTTCCCCTCCCCATCTTTAGAAGGAAGTCACTATGGACTACTCACACATAAGGAGTAGGGAATTGTGGCTCACCTTCTTGAGGGCAGATATCGACATAGGTTATTTGAAGTTCTTATCTATTCAGTCATTTATATCAGTATAAGTTTAAGGATTTTAAAAACACACTTTGGCTTATACAGTAATCCAATAAATCCTTCTTTGTTTTCTTGCTCAAATTTTCCCAGCTGTGGTCACTGGAAACTCTTTTTGTTGGTTCCTTGTCCCTTTGACATACTCCTTTGTTGTGGATTTTTTTTTTTAGCACTTCCTTAATTTCTGGATTTATAAAATGCTCCAGCCTTATTTTGCATTTTTCCTGCCCAAGGCCTAGAAATCAGCCATTTCTCTAAGAAACCCTGGTTCCTTTTATTGGAGAGTGCTATTAGAAATCAAGATCTGGGTGATAGGTATGTCCCTTGTTATTTGGGGTGGTTTTGCTTCTCAGCTGAAAGAGAAAGGAACTAACCCAGTATTTACATATGTGCATAAACATTTTTATATATAACCATTGGTGTCCATATTAAGCAAAGCATGAGTTCATACAGATGTCTCCAACTCTAATCCATTACCACATGGATCACTGTAGCCCAGGGGTGGGCAAACTTTTTGACTCGAGGGCCACAATGGGTTCTTAAACTGGACCGGAGGGCCGGAACAAAAGCATGGATGGAGTGTTTGTGTGAACTAATATAAATTCAAAGTAAACATCATTACATAAAAGGGTACGGTCTTTTTTTTTTTTTTTAGTTTTATTCATTTCAAACGGGCCAGATCCGACCCATGGGCTGTAGTTTCCCCACGGCTGCTCTAGCCACTTCCCCCTGCTCCAACAGTGAGAAACCTGGCTCCCACCATCCACCATTCATTTATTTGATTGTTCAATACACATGGATAGCAATGTCTGAATTGTTGTTAACCTGTACCCAGTGGGAGGCAATTTATCAACTAGAGTAGTTTTCCAGGGAGTCTGGAAGACAGTATTCTGGATGGCCCTGAGCCTTGCGTCAATCAATAATTCTGTTACCAAGGAAGAAGGGAAGGATCGATTAGAGAAGACAGTGGTCTCCACCATAGAATGCACTGGAGTCGCAGATCAGGGAAGGGAAAAACAGTGATCTGATTTTGAACTTTAGCTGTGAGTTTCTATGAAAATGTCAGTTATTTTCTTCTGCAAATGGCAGCCTTTTGACATAATGCTCATTTCCTTCCTCTGCCACAGCATGAGTTCCATCTTGCTTTAGCCTCCACAGCCATCGGCCATCACCAGCAGAAGTAAGGGGAGAAGCCCCATTAAGTACATTGTAAACTTCGAGGTGAGAGGGCAGGGTAATGAGGTGGTGAGGGATGGATGGGTGGGAGTATCAGCTAGTTATTGGGCAACTGAAAGTAGCAGAGATTGCAAATAGGTGCTGCCTGATCCAAGCTATTAATACAACAAGGAGGAAGGAATGTGGGTGATGGGATGGGCTTGTATAGTGGACCATTAGTGATGCCCTATCCACCACTTTGACAAGTCTGTGCCCTTTATTGATCTACTAGAGGCCTGGTGCATGAATTCATGCACCGATGGGGTCCATAACCCTGGCCTGCTCCCTCTCGCAATCCGGGACCCCTTGGGGCCAAAACCAGCAGTCCGATGTCTACAGAGGGATGTAGAAGTGGGGCCGGGCACCACACAGCTCCTGCTCATCCCAGCCCCGCTGTGCCTGACATCTGCCACTGCTTGGTAGCACGCTGCTATGGAGGCGGGAGAGGCTTGTGCTGTGGGAGAGGCTCATACCGCCGCAGCTGTGCTCACCAGTCATGAGCCTGGTGTGTGGTGACCGTCAGTCAGCTGAGCGGTGCTCCAGCTGTGGGAGCACACTGAGCACCAGGGGGCAGCTCCTGCATTGATTGTCTTCCCCCTGGTGGTCAGTGCACATCATAGCGACCGGTCGTAGATCTTGCGTGAATTTTGGGACACCCTATAGGTTATCAAATCAGTTGTCAATGTGCTATTTTCATCCAACGGAGTTGGCAATTCTAAAAAAAAAAACCCTTTCAGAGCCACTCTTTAAGCTTGACCTGATATCTAGGAAGTGCTGTGCCAATACATGGGAAAGAGCAAGTGACCCCACACAGGAAATCTAAAATTCTTCCTATAAAGTGAGAAGACTCAGAGGTTAAGATTCTTAAAAAAGAAAATAGCAAGGTAGAAGGAAAGAGGGCTTTGCAGATCCATTCATCAGGGTTTGAATCCTAGCTCTGCAACTTAACAGCTTGCAACCCTAAGCAAATTATGTGCTGTTGTTTCTATTAAATATATATTAACATACTAAATTATTGAATACTAGAGGCTCAGTGCACAAAATTCATGCATGGGGTGGGGGTGGGACCTCAGCCCGGCCTGCACACTCTTGCAATCCGGGACCCCTCGGGGGATTGGGCCTAAACCAGCATCCAGACATCCCTCTCACAATCTGGGATGCTGGCTTCTAACCACTGGCTTGCCTGCCTGCCTGATCACCCCTAACCACTCATCTGCCTGCCTGATCACCCCTAATTGCTCGCCTGCCTACCTGATCGCCCCTAACCTCCTCTGCCTTGTACCCCGCCTTGGTGGCTACATCTGGAAAGACATCCGGAATGACATCTGGAAGGTCATTCGGCTGTCCGGTCTAATTAGCATATTATGCTTTTATTATTATACACTAGAGGCCCATTGCAGGAAGATTCCTGCAAGAATAGGGCTTCCTCGGGCCGATCGCACTGCCAATCCCCACTGCCCAGGGCTGCACATGGGGGGCCTGGCTGATGGCAGGGCTTAGGTGGCACACGGGGGCCCTGCCGCCCAGGGCCGCACATGGGGGCCCGGATGGCGGCTCGCGCTGGCCTGCCTTGCCTGCAGTATGCAAATTAGCCACCATCTTTGTTGGCAGCTAATTTGCATATTGCTCTGATTGGCTGATGGGTGTAGCGAAGGTATGGTCAATTAGCATCTTTGTCTTTTATTAGATAGGATAATTTATTAAAGAAATATCACAATGATACAGTTTATTGATGTTTTAAACAATATGTGACAAAACCCATAGAATGTTGTAGCATAATGAGTGAGCCTAATGTGTACAAATTTAGAAACCATTTAGGAGGTTGAGGGATCCCAGAATGTGACAAAACTATGGGAATTACAAATGCATGAAACAGCCTCTCTGGGGAAAGTGTTGACCTAAACTGGAACGGAGTGGAGTCTGTCAGACTGCAGGCAGAAGAAACTGCACAGAGACACTGCTCTAGCAGGAGGTGAGATGTGATACTTCCAGGAAGTGTCCTTAAACAGAGGGTGTGTCCTTCTCACTTTCCTCCTTCCTGCTGGGTAGATAGGACGCTCTGCGTGGGTGGAGCTGCCTGTCCTCTTATGATTGTGAAGCCACTACACCAGTTGAATTTGCATGAAAAGAAAAAGAAACTACTGCCTTAACCACTCTTTTATTAAAAGAATAAAATTCTTTTATTTCAGAAAGAGGAAGAGAGAGATAGAAACATCTATGATGAGAGAGAATCATCAATTGGCTGCCTCCTGCAAGGGGCCTACTAGGAATCAACCCTGCAACCCAGAAATGTGCCCTGACTGGGAATCAAACCTGACATCCTGGTTCATAGGTCACTGTTCAACCACTGAGCAACACTGGCCGGGCTTACCTCACTCTTATTTTGACTTTTCTGTCATGAATGAATCTAATCCCAACTAATACAGAATTTACTTATATATGTTCCTCACTGCCTTTTACCCCTCCACCAATTCTTCAATTATGCGCCCCCCCATGAGGTTACTTAACTTTCTTAAGCACCTAATTCTAGCCGATGAGAGATATGCCCCCCAAAATGTGGGCTTTTGTTCCCAAAAATATTAAGCCTTTCCATGGGATGATAATTATTCAATAGCATAATTTGTATCCTCACAAAGACTTATTTAAATGAGCTAAACAGTATAAATTTAGCTTTTATTTCCTTTATATCTAAATTACACACTTACTGAATTTTGGGAGAAATTCCAGAAAGTATAATCTTTAAAAATGTAAAGCAACCCAAAATAAGAACACTAACATGTTGGTTTGTGAAGTAAATTCCATTGACCTAAAACAATGGAAATGTTAAGAAAGTAGTTATTCATGAGTGGCATGTTAGAAGGCATGTTGCTTTTCTTTTAAGTATTTCCATTAGTAGGCACTGATAGTCTAAGCTAAGATATCTCCCCCCCCCGCCCCCCCCCCCAACCCCACGACTTTTGATGTTACATTGAATTTAGAAACTGCAAGTCCCTTCATGGAATCATAGAACAGAAAAGGAAGATGGCAGTTAATAGCCGCTAGGTGTCCATTTCAAAATGGTTACCTAGCAACAGTTCCAGCCCATAGCTAGCAGGAGTAGTGCTAGGGGCTTACAGTTAAACAGCTTGCTTGAGCTACATACTTGCTCCGCTGACATCTCATCTGCATGGTTCTCAAAATTAGCAGCACCTTTTGGTGTCATGTGGGCTGATGCACAACTAACCATCTGTTTTATCTGTCTTATCTCACCTTCCGAGTGAATGTGCTCGCTGTGTTTATAGAAAACCATGCAGGTTGTGGAAAACACACACACACACACACACACACACACACACACACACACACACAGACCCTAACAATATTTGAAAGCAAAACAAAATCCCTTTCAAAGTTCCTAGGGGCCAGGGATAGCAGCTATGTGAATTTATAAATAGATTTAAAAATGCACAGTCCACTTTCAAGTAAGAAAACGAACAGTTTATTTTAACCTACAGAATAAGTTTGAGAAGTTTAAATAAATATTAAACAAAATAATCTTCACTAAAGTTAAGTATCACGCTAAGAGCACTCTAACTAACCCAGCCTCCCAAGTTTACGTTCAGTTCCTGGAAACTAGGACAACTATCTATAAAAGAAGAAATGCAGGTTGTGGTATTTAATATTTATATCTGGTCATCAAGCTGCTGCACCTGCATTTCCTCTGTGTTAAGTCTCTCTCCTGGTTTAAGCCTATTTTCTATCTGTATTTCACAATTATAAACATATTTCATTTGTATGAATTCTTTATAAAGTCTTTGGAAATTTTTAAAATATTTTTTTATTATTTATTTTAGAGAGAGACAGAGTGGGCTAGAGAGTTAGGAGCACCAATGAGAGAGGAACACTGATCAGCTGCCTCCTACACACCCCCTACTTGGGATCAAGCCCACAACCCGGGCATGTGCCCTGACTGGGAATCAAACCATGACCTTTTGGTTCATGACACTCAACCACTGAACCATACTGGCCAGGCATCTTTGGAGATTTAACCTGTCAAAGGGAAAGTCTCTCAAGAAGGTTTAAATACGCATCACACATGATGTATGTGTTAAGGTATGAGATTTTTGTTAAAAATCAAATTTGTAGGGACTAAGATATTAGCACACCAATGTTCATAGTAGCACAGATATGTGTACACCAATATTCATAATAGCATTGTTCACAATAACTAAAAGGTGAAATAATCCAAGTGTCCATTAACAGGTGAATGGATAAACAAAATGGGACATTTCCATACAATAGAATATTATTCAGCCCTAAAAAGGAATTAAGTTCTGACATATGCTCCACCTGGATGAAGCTTGAGGACATTATGCTAAGTAAAATGAGCCAGACACAAAAGGACAAGTATTGTAGGATTTTTTTTATATGGAGTACTGATAGTAGGCAAATTCATAAAGACAGAAAGTAGAATGGCAATTGCTAGGGGTGGGTGGGGAATGGGTAGTTCTTGTTTCAGTGGCAGAAGATGAAAATTTCTAGAAATGGAGGGTGGTGATGATTGCACAACATGATAAATGTAGTTAATGCCAATCAACTGTATACCCCAAAAGGGTTAAAATTGTAAATTTCAGTTATATATATTTTACAAAAATAAAAAATTAAGTGCATTTATTTAGTCCAGACCAAATATTAACAGTAAACAGGGTTCTAAAGGGAGATAATTACATGGAGATGAAAATGTGTTGTGGGTATTGTTGTAATGTGCACCCATGTACAGAATGAGCCTCATTGTTAAAAGATCAAAGTCCTGCCAGATTTTGCTAGCAATTCTGACATCTGTTAAACCAAAATTTGTAAAAAAAAAAAAAAAAAGAAGAAGAAGAAGAAGAAAGATTGACTCTTTTAAGGGGAGAAAGGGCTGCCAATATGTATTCTAACAAATATATTCATTATATTGGTTTTCGTTGGACTGTTTTCTTCTATGGCCAGACATCTCTTAAATTATGTACCCTAAAGAATTAAAG